GCTGAGTCATTTCTACCTTCTCCTCTCTGTCAACGCTCTCTGGTTTCATTTAAAAGAGTCGATCATCAGATATTGTCCAAGATTAACCTTCAACATAATTGTGGTGGATATAACTCGCTCACACCGAGGACCTATCCACATCATCATTTACCCAGAATGCTTTGCGTGTAAATAAAAAGGCTCCGTCCGTGTTAAAATATATTTTTAAAAATTATAAAAACTGAACATCCTACAGTATTTTTAGTCTTTATTTTACAGTTAAAATATGTGTTTATCAAACAAAGTTTAATGTTACAACTAATCGGAGATCTCTTTAACAGTTCTGCGCCTTTACTTCATTATTGTGCTTGTGGGCTAAAATTGGAAACGACAATTTAAACTAACAGAAAATTTCATTGTGCCAACAAACCTAAAAACAGACCCAAAGTAACGATATAGTTCTTAAACCAACAAAACGTAGGACTATGAGGTGTTTCATTCTCTAAAATATTTAAATTTCACTCTGTCATCCCCCTTTACCAGAAACGGGGAGAAATGCAAATGCTGCAGGTGGCGGTCCTGGTTCAGAGGAGGGATCTTCCATGGACTGCATGCCCTGTGAGATGAACTGTGCCTACTGCAAGGACAACACTCCCTGTGTGGTGTTAGAGGAAGGCATCCTTCGCTTGGTCGTGCTCTCCTTCCAGTGCCTCTGCATGCTGATAGTCTTCATCAGCATGGTGCTCATTTACAACTTTCGGAGAAATAAGGTTAATAATTTTATGTACTCCTATACATTTGTAGTTTTTTTTTTAAGAAAATGTGTTTCAGTCAGTTGGATCCAGCATATTATTGCACTTGAAAGAACTACTTGAAATTCTGTTCTCGCTATTAGTCTTGGTGCGCCACCCCAAAATTTGCTGTGACCCCCATATGGTGTCCCCATTAAAAAGTTTCTGGAGGCCCCACCACAGTGAAGATGAAAGTTTGATGTGTTTCAGGGCTTTGATCCACAGTTTTTAGCTTCAAAAGTTCCTTACATTAAAAAACCTAGTAACTGTCCCACAGAGGTTTGTTTGAATTATTGTGTTAAATAAGATAACATCTCCCATCTGCTGACAAGAAAGAGCTTCTGTGTTATTTATTTATTTATTTATTTATTTATTGTATTTTTAAATAGGTGGCACAGCTGCATTCTGCCTCCTGAAAGCCCCCCTCAAGCATCGAGTCAATTAGAGGACACATCTTTGAAAAAATGGTTTCCACAAGAGAGAAACAGAAAGAATCAATAATAAAAGCTTTAAAGAAGAAGCTGTAACTGCTTTGTTCTTGTAGAAAACAAAACAATTTCTGTCTTTTATTTATTTTTTGGACTTTTTAGGTCAATTATTGAAAAAAATCATTACTGCTTTTTGTAGGTCCGAGGGATGCCTTTGGTTCTTTCGGAAGAAATAAATTGGATTAAATTGGAAAAAGGCACCAGAAGTACAATGTAATCAATTGTGCAGATGGTTACAGCTTTTCTTGCAAGCAGCCAAAAACTGACACATTTTATTATGAAGATGCAGTTTATGAATTTGTATTTTTTTTAGTTGTTATGTTTTGTTTGCAGAGTATCAGAGCATCAGGTCTCGTTCTGCTGGAGGCCATTCTGTGTGGAGCTCTACTTCTCTACTTTCCAGTAAGACGTTGATGTTTTTTCCTGTTCCTATAAAACTAAAAAGGCATTTTCACTTTGAAGGTTTGAATGTTCACATAGGCACTCATTCATCTAAAACAGAATCACAGCTTTTGGTAACAAAGTTTATCTCTCCTCAGACAGTGTGAATCTTTCAATCTTTAAAGGCCAGATTAATCCTGAGACTGAAAACAGCAAGTTGTAAAACACAATAAAACAAAACTAAAGATGGAGTGAAGGTTTATGAAAGAGTTCATGAATCACTGTCAGGACTTGGCTCAAAAGCCATGACAAAAACTGAACAGGCCTGAAAGCACAAATAATGTGATTTATTGTAACAAAATGAGAAAAATAAAGACAGCCCTAAGGTGTGGTCCAAAATATCAGTAGGGAAGGTTGTCAGTTAGGTAAGGATGTGTAAATAATGTGCAGATGCTTGTGATAATTAAACATACTGTGTTGTGCCGGGAAAAGAGATCCAAGCAAATAAAGAATCAGTCAGATCTGCTGCTGAAGCATGAAAATATAAGATGCTGCTGAGATGGTAAAACAGCAAAAAAAAAAAAAAAAAAAAAAAAACACTTTGGTCCTGGACTAAAATATTCTACATTTGGCCTTTAAATGCTGACTTTCTGATGAATCTCAGTGTCCAGGGGTCGGGTTTATAAAGCTTGCGTAAGCACAAATCGAGCCTAGAAACATGTATACGTACGATTTTATAAATCTGAATTCTTTTTTGGCGCACGCCATTTTTGCCTTTTGGCCGTACGTTCACTTTTAGTATGGTTTCCATGCAGTCTTTTATAAATTTGACCCCAGACCTGCAGGCAGAACTATATGGGTGAAAGTATTGCTTCCTACACAATGTCTTTTTCTTTTATTAACTTTTTTAAATAGCAATATACTGTATTTATTATGATACAGTTTTTCAGGCCAATTCATTGTACTGACAGTATCAATTGTAAATTTCATTACCCACACAGTGAGTAATAATGAAGTATAAAACAGTGGAATTATGTCATCTACATCAGAGAAAATCAATTCATGTTAATCAGTGACATTTTTTGATCCACTCTTTTGCACATGTCAGATGATTAAACTGTGCCTAAAACCCGCAAAAGCATTGATTTACCTTGAACCACCATTATGTCTTCCTCCTCAGTGCTTGGGGGAGCTGGATGATTGCAGTTTAGTTGCAATCATGCAGAGCTGTATGCTTTGTGAAGCAACACAAAGTCAGCGCAATTAAAGGCAGCTGATTTAGAGCTGCATGGCTAATCAATGCAATTTGCTGCGACAAGGTCCTAGAAAGTAATAATGTTTGAGACGCGCAGGATGAAAGTGAGCCTGGGAGCCAGGTTATTGCTCAGTGGATGAATGAACAGAGGAGGATATTCTTGCACCCAGCTGGTGGAGTGGTGGCAGCGAAGGTTAAAAATAGAAAGCGAGTAGATGGTCGACTTTGAGCTGAGGAATGAATGGGATCCGGTTTGATATGTTAAGTAGAAATGGGTTGATCCTGCTTTGAGAGAATATCATTGATTATTAGTGATAAAAAATACAATAAAATTTAAAAAAATCTTCCTGCAATGGTGTTTTTTTTCTGCACACCAGCCTGATCTCCACCCTGATGCATTTGCATATTTCCCCTGTGAGTCTCACACAAGCCGAGGCTGAAAAGGTGAAACGCCTCCCTGCCGGTCTAAAAATAGAATCTGAAATATTCCTCTGTTTGTTGCTGCTGCTGCTTCTATTTTAAATCGTTCCACTGTTATTAAGCAGCAGGACACACACAAACACACACACACTTCATCCTGCTCCCACGACATTATGCYTAGTGGCATATTTGTCCCTCCAAGTTTCTTATAAAGGTGTCACATATGGATGACCTGCATGAAATGCTTCCAGAACATGTTTCTGGTTGGCACAAGCTGCAGCTATAGAGTGTTTCTGTGTGTTTAGTGCATCATAGCAGCAAAAGACAAAAGAAAGAAAATGCACACCTTATGAGGACCTTGTTGGGATAAGGTAGCTTTGTTGTTTTACCCATTAGGAGGTTTTATTTTATTTTATTTTTTAAGATATGAAGCTAGAAGAAAAAGCCTTCAAATATTTCAGGAGCAGGTTGACGCTAACTAATCTGTAATCCGATGTTGGTGATGAGCAGTAATTTTTATCCAAATAATTTGACACTGTGGTTGTAAAACGTTTTTAGAATAAGCAGCACAATGGCTCTGCCTCACAGCAAGAAAATCCTGGGTTTGATCCGCAGTATGGACCCGAAGTCTTTCTTTGTGCAGTTTGCATGTTCTCCATGTGCTAGCATGGATTTTCTGCAGGTATTTCAGTTTTCTCTCCCAGACTAAAAACATGCATGTTAGGCTGTCTTCAGGCTAAATAAAGATGATGGTTAAATAAAGGTTAAAAAAATATTTGCAGACAAATGAGGGGTTTTGGTAAAGTAATACTTAAACCCAACATACCCACACAGCAAAAATTTTCTGGCCCAGTTCTGGCACACACAACGCGCTAACACCCACACCAGATACTGCAGAGAATGAAGGCCCTTTGGTGGCTCGGATGTGGTTTGCGAGAGGTGGTCATGCATGGGCCAACCTATAAATCAAAGTGGCACTGACAGATTTGGGCCACATAAACCAAACCATAACTGGGCCAATGTTTTGGGATACCATCTTAAAAACAGTGCCATCATTGCCAGACCTGGCCCACATCCAGTTGATTTGCCATGCCAACAGTCAGCAGGGCCAGAGTGATCCCAGATCTGGCCCACACCTCTCTGCTATGTGGATATATACTTGCACATAACTAAAAAAAAACCTACACTTTATTTCAGTTTTTATTGGTTGCTCCTAATATTTTGGGCATTTTTAGCTACTTTAATATAAAAATACTGTGCTGCATTTACAAAGAACACAAACCTCTATCCTTTAACATATTTGACATAAGATGTTGCAGGATGTGTTTAAAGTTTTGGAACAAATGGAATTTATTAATCTAACAAGTTCCAACAAACAATCCCTTTTACTTCCACAAAATCTGCTAAAACACAGCGTCACCAAATTGTAAGGTGCATTTCTGCAATTGAAGGGTTATTTCAGCTTGAAGAAGTGAAAGAATAACAGATTGGTGAAAGAAAAAAACAGCAACACATGTAGGCTGGCTGCTTCGTCTGATGTGTCTTTTTGGCACAATGGAAAGATCTCTCAGGATCTAACTGGTGATGAGGAGGGAAGGGAAYTGTGAGAGGCGGGTGTGACTTGGCTCCGTTTTTGTGCAGATGCCAAGTTGGATGTAATTTACACTCAGCCCACCTCGGGGAACGATGGGAGAAGAAACCATTACCTCCCTCCAGAAAGCGGCCCTTCCCATGTGGCAGGGAGTGTCAGCTTTCATATAAAAACGGATCCATTTCTATTACAGCACCCCACTGCTGGCATCCCTCTCCCATTTGCTCACACTGAATGTGTTTAGATGAAAATAAATTTAAAAAAGAGGAAGAGATGTGAAATGAGTGAGAGATGATGACCACGTAGAATGGATAGCTGTGACTTTTCCGTGTCAAAACATTAAAAGTAAGATTAGCGCTTTGTTGTGACAGGATGATTCCTGGGGCTGCAGCTTCTCATTCCTCCCTCCTTCTTATTCCTCCCTGTCTCCTCAGACAGAGACAGACACATAAATGCC